CACTGAAGACTGGAGTTATGACGCTAAAAAATCCATTTGCCATCAAAAGAAAAAAATATTTGAAATAGTAATTCCATGATATCACCGTTTTTCTTAATTCTGATGAAATAAACATAGCCTTGCTGAGCAAATTATACTTCTTTTAAAAACATAAAAATATTACTATTTATAATTTTATATATAATATTGAGAAGAGAAGAGAAGTGTAAGATTGTGGGCCCACCTGTGTGAGGAGATAATTATCTTGAGTGGCTTGCAATAATTTGGCCTGATGGTGAGGTTTGAGTGACAGGTCTGACATTTGAACAAGGATTTTTTTTCTCCCAAAGAATAAATAGCACACGATTGGACAAACTAGCCTGACTGTTTCCATCAAACGGCCAGACCACTCACCATTCAGCCTATCCGCGCTCATTAGACAGGATGAGTTTGTAAATTTACATGCAGATGATCACAGAGGAAAGAGGCTCTGGCTACCCATGATTAAAGAAGCATAATGGAAGTGGTTAACGCTGCTGCCGTACTTGTATGATGACATTTAATTAGTTACTAATTAACTGTCATCATACAAACAGAACCAATGATGCATGTCTGCTCATAAGATACAGCAATGTCTGAGGTGACGTGACGGTGAAACATGTTCACCCGCAATGCGGACATGCTATTCGAGACACGTCCTCACTTGTTTATAGAACTTCAGTGACACGGAGAGAGAAGGTATAATCACCACAGCATTGTCGATTCCAATCTGCTGAGACTGAGTCGCAGTGAAAAAATGACTGGGAAAAATTAATGACACAGTCTAATTAAGATCCTCTGAACCCGCTCTGTGCCCCATCGCAGGAGACAACATCCACAGGAAAGTGACGTGCTGCTCTCTCTCACAACGCTGACATTTCAGCATCATGGCTGAGACAGAACGATCAATTCATATAGGAGCTCACGCGGACACATACCGCCTGGAAGTTCTGATATGATGGATGACACAAGACTTATCACTGAATCAGTGCAGGTTAAGGTCATTTTCCATACCAGCATAGAAAAAAAATAAGTACATAAATAAACCATATAACCATATTGCACTGCATTGTGGGATAAGAGTGTAAATAGTTTAATTGACCTTTATGATGATTAGTTTTTCTTTTGGCTGGAATCTTGGAGCTCTTTTTACTTTTTCATTTTTCCCCCATCCAGTGTTATAGACCACAGTTATACAGTGTTATACAGAGAGAGAAAAAAATCGATGCAATAATGTATACTCTACATGTGGAAGGGTTAATCTGGGTTTGCTTCTGATTTGGGTGGGTTTGTCACATTTAGTTTCTCTGGTTTTTCATTGTTTAATTAATTTGTGCACCTGTTATTTATTTTGTTGATTGGTTTGATCTGTGTATTTGAAGAGTTCAGATGCAAAAGCCTCTAAGTGCCATTTGAAATTTTCTTCTAGAATGATCATTTTTATCAAGCTTGTATATTTAAGTTCAGTAATTTCACTTAAATGGCAATGAAGATTACCTATTAATTGTTATTTAAGTGAAATTACTGAACTTAAATATACAAGTTTGATAAAAATCATCATTAAAGAAGAAAATTTCAAATGGCATTTAGAGGCTTTTGCATCTGAACTCTTCATTTAATCCCTGTGTTTCTTTCATCACGTTTTAAAATTGCTGTTCCATTATTACCCCTTAATAAATTTTGACTTTTTTTTCATTTGAGGATTCACTAAATATTCTATGCATCAACACAACGAGAGCTCTCATTTTTGCTCTCTCCATCTTGTAGACAAATCAACTAAATGACAAGAATTACATAATAATACTAATATTACCACCAAAAAGCGACTTTACTCCCTTTAGATACCATGATATTACCACTCATGGTATCTAAAGGGTGTGCTGCCATACAGGCGCTGCTGAACATAAAATCCATATTAAAGGTCTTAAATGTTACCTTTGAAACTGAACTCATCATTTATTCATCACATGTCTTTTTTAAATGACTCCCTGCCCTCGTACCCATTTGTAATTATGCTTATAGTAACTGTCCCCTCCAAAAAAGGAAGAGTAGATATTATTATTGCTATGTTGATGAAATGGCATCCACATGCAGGCAAAACTGCACAAAGCAACAGAAACCGACAGTCTACATAGAAATGTCCAAACAAGGCATCGGTTCTGTGTGTCATACAAACAGCTCTACACATAAAGGGCACAGCAGACTCAATTGATTACAATACAGTTTGGCGTTAAAATGTTGCTAAAGTAACATAGTGATATGCACACAAATCTCAGGTAAAATAATTAGTCTTTTACTACACTGAACTTTTTCTATAGTTAATTTTCCATACTGAATGAAATGTATTCATTAATAATCCTTATTTATCCCACATTGTCCACAAACTGAGATTGTTACAATGCATGATAGTATTATTACATGTTTAGGACAGCCTGTAATTCATAGAGAATACATGAATGGATTAAAAATATACATATACCTTGAATGCAATTTAAGTCACCATACTGTATGTTGGAACAGAACATAGCCACACATTTTTAACTCTCCCTTCAACTTTTTAAAAGAGACTCACAGATCAGACAGACATTATATTTCAGAACCAGAAATCTAGGATATCCACCTGGAATGTTATAGCTTTAAGACTTTAATGTATAGCGAGACTTTAATGTGTTGCCCACATGTGCGAATGCTGGCTGGTGTCTAAACTCAGCTGTTGCCATTTCTCTCTCTGAGACGTACTGCACTATCCCTCCCTGTGCCCTTAAAACCCACAGTCATTGACCTCATGTTGCCAGCTTCACCCCCAATTAATTAGGTTTTTAATTGGTGACCTTTAAGAATCCAGCAACTGTGTAGAGAGAGAGAGACACTTCATCTCTGGCCTTGCGCACCAGCAGCACAGAGTAGAAGTCTCAAATGTATCCCTCACTGCACTTTAATCTGCCTTTCAAAGAGGTGCTGTCTTCCTCTCATTAAACTCTGTGGAATTAGGCTTGCTGTGTCCTGTCCAAGTGGATGTGCAACTCTATTTGATCTTTAGAAATACTGCCATGTACTACAAACCAGCTGTGCAAATGAGAAATTGCTAAACTGCTAGCACATAACAGTAATCTGCCAAGAGCCATACAACAGCAGTACTGCTGAAAAATCACTAGACACCAAACATTTAAAAAATCGTCGGCAAGCGATATGATTGCTGTGCACCCGTTGTGTCATTTGAAACTGAAATCGAAACATAAAACGAGACATGATGATGAAATCATCATAATGAAATGCAACTAACCATGTAATAGTGTAGCAGAGCGAAATAAACAGAGTATCAACTAATAAAAGGAAACTGCTTTCACTTTCATTTTCTGCTGACATCAAAGGCTGTGTGTGTGCCCAAACAAACTTTATGGTATTTTGCTGCAATTCATATGTCACTTGGTACTGGTAGAAGCAAAATTAGGCATCACCATCACCATCAACTCAAGTCACAAAATCAGCTCAAATGACGCTGAATAGGAGTTAATTTGTAACAAAGATAAACTGAGTGTATAAACCAATCAAAATCCAAAAGATTTATACTCCAAATAATAAATATCTAGAATAAAACAAAATGCTGTTATTTGAACCCAAATGCTGTGTTCAGTCTGTTGGGTCATTTTATTGAGTTATTTTTTTTTATTGTTTTTACTCAGGTACTGGGTAGTTTTTGTGTAACTCAGCTCCCTCATGCTCCCTCACACACACACCCAGAGATGGGTCAGTGCAACACAATGTTGGGCAGTCTGTGCAAAACCGGTTAAAACTGCATATATTTGTCAACAGTGATTTTGTGTTCTGAGAGAAAACTTCCAGAGGATAATCTTCCTGAATGAAATTCAATTGTTTTCAATAGGGGATTATCACGCTTCCGGGTTTCATGGGCGGGATTTGTCAACTTTGTACATGTCCACTTCCGACGCAGTTCAACAATGCCTTAGACGAAGGCTATATATGTCACTGCTCTGTTCCACTTTGTAAATCTAACCAACAACGCCAACCCTACATAAGTTTTCATGGATTCCCGACTGAATGGAGTATGAGGAAGAAGTGGATTAAAACTCTAAAATAAAACAAGGTAGCACGTTTTTTTGGAGCCAGCACTTTAGTGAATCAGACTAATTTACCAGGGATGCCTTATAAATAAACTTAGGTTAGTCGGTCATCAGTTCGCCAGCGAGATCGGTGATTCTACGGAAGTGGCAGTGCACAAAGATCACTGAATCCGGAAGTCCAACGTATCAGCGTGATAATCCCCTATTGCTTAATCAAATTATCACATTTGAAACGTCTGTATAGTCTCACATTAGGCCTATACATTTTTTCTTTAAAAGATGTACTTTGCAGCAAATATCTGTTTGGAATGCTAGCCTTCAAACCCAGAATATACCCTCCAGGGGTGAGACACAATGTGGCATCCTTGTCATATATAACAAAGTTGCTGAGCACATGCAGTGAATACAGCTCCATTGACTACTATGGTAGGTATCTATTGATCTAGATAGTCATTTAATGAACTGGAACAGAGACAAGGCCATATCATAGTCACTCTATAGTGATTATAAAATGAATAACCTTCAATAGGTTCTTTGACCCAGTACAATATTTACCCAACACTGGGTTGCCAAATGACCCAACATTTTTTAAGGTGAGTGATATGTGTTTTATTTTATACATGCACTCTAAAAATGCTGGGTTATTTTAACCCAATTTTGGGTCAAATATGGACAAACCCAGCTGTTGGGTTAAATCTATAAATTGCAACAATTAGGTTTGTCCATATTTGACCCAAAATTGGGTTAAAACAACCCACCATTTTTTAGAGTGCAGACATTTTTGATCACCATTGTACGATAAACATTTTCAGTGCTGAGCTGCCGCTTTATATCCAACTCAAAATCGTAAAGCAAAACCAGTTGAGAAGCGTTGAACAAAAACATAAATTGGCATCTCACCTGGGGGAGATATCACAGCCCTGCTGCATGAAAGCTCCTAATGAGAACCAGAGACTGTTGAAGATGCCAAACTCATTGCTCTGCTCCTGACTCTGCTGGTTCTGGTTCTGTTGGCCCTGACCCGGTTGGGCGGATGACGAGGAGGGCTGGTTAGGGTTCTGTTCAGCTCCGTCGTCATAGTCCTCTGCGTGCCACTCGTAGGGACTGAAGCGGCTGACTAGGAAAAGCACCACGCTCACTCCGATGTAGGCAAACACAATACACATCCAGATCTCATAGGCCAGAGGGTCCAGGAAAGAGAACACACCAGGCTTGGACTTGGTGGGCTTTTTGATCATGATGGAGATGCCGAGGCTCATGAAAGGCTTGGAGAAATCGATGACTTCCTCCCTGACAAGGGTTATGGTCAGTGGGGCCACAGCTACGTCAGCTTTCTGTAGAGGAATATATGATGTTATTGTAATAAATACCAAAGTATTGTTATGTAGTTCATTAAATTACACATGAACCAGTAGAACCAGTAGAAAAAGTCAATCTAGGACAAAGTAAATGAAGAACGGATCTGCTCTAATCTATCCTCCATCTACAGTAAATGCCTTTCTAGGATGATTTTTTTTTCTCTCATTCCATGTTTATATGCTTGAGGTAAAAATCTGAAGCCTGTTGGTCAATTGCTAAACCTTTTCTCATGAGGTCTGGTTTTCACAGTACACTAATGATTAGATTTTCAATAGCAGAATTCTGATTAAAATGATTGAGATTTTAAAACAGCATTTTTTTATCAGTAGCATTACTGGTAAAAAAAAGCTATTGTGTTATTTGGCATTCATCCTACACTCTGATATTCGGGTCTGGATTTATGTAGAGAGAAAATAAGATGTAGCACTTACACCATAGACAAGTTCCCCCACCATTCCATTCCACATCATGGTCTCAGCATCTCTGGCTCCATATTTCCCATCAGCCACTATCTTGAGTATGTAGTGGTATCCTACATGTTTGGCTATCTCTGCTGCCAGTTCCACACAGTAACCTTCATATTTATCATTTCCTGTAAACTGCTCGTGGTTCTTCTTCAGCATGACATATGGTGATTCCTAGTCAGGACACACAAGTAGACGGACATATACAGTGAACAACAAATATTTACATTATTTTTGTGTAATTGATCTGATATTTCTTTAACCATTCAAGACTAAAAGAATATGTGGTTAACTATGTTTCCTACTTTGTTTTCAATGAAAACCGTTTGGTATACAAATGGATGTTTTAATATTTGACATAATATTTTTTACTTTTGTAATATAATATTAATATCGCTACATTTAAAAACAAACAAACAAACATATTTTACAGTATTTAAGATAGACAAGGCAAATAAGATAAAAAAGAGAAGTCTATCAACCGAAGGCACAATGCGATACAAAGAGAACTTCTAATGTAGACAGCTCCATTGATTTTTGCAAGATGTAAACAACACTGGCCCAGAAGCACTTCCTGTTTCAGTTTTTTTAACACTACATAAAAGCTGGGATAAAATACAACCAACAGAACATATAAAACTGAATCAAAAAGTTAAACAAACATCTTTAAGATGTTTTCTTACATGTGAAATAAAGAAAACAGTTACAAACTGAAACAGGAAGTGTTTCTGGACCAGTGTTGTTTACATCTTGCAAAATGGTCTATAGTCTAACTACTGTGGCCGAGAGAGCTCAACATGTTGCAACTGAAGAAAACGCATGTACATAGAAAAACACCCACACATTAAGAAAAGATCTTCATCAGTTTCACAACACGTGTGCTCCAAATACTCACAACACAACCAAATACAGAAACACGCTGCAAATAGCACAGACCACAACGGAAGTGACGAACACATCTGGGACGTGCTTATTGCTCGTGAGCATCCCTATGCCCTACTCCCTTCAAAGGGCAGAGCCCTTGAAGTGTGGACTTTGGAGTGAGGCAAAGTGAGCCAAAGACTTTGGAGTGGTGCCTTGGACCCTGCATTACCTAACATTTCTTATGAAACTTATTTAAACATACCATGACAAAATTTGAACAATGTAACTGATGTATTGATTAATATATTACCCTCGTGGTCTTCTTCTCTATCTTTATTTATTTTTTTATTTTTCAGCTAACTGAAAGCTTATAGTAAACTCTTCTTTTTTCATGTGTATTCTGATGACATTGAACATATTGTTAATATATGTTGTATATTGTATACAAAGTTATATGTCATAAACATGTCATCTCTGTTGTTCCGTCGTGGTCTGTGCTATTTGCAGTGCGTTTCTGTGTACTTGGTTGTGTTGTGAGTATTTGGAGCACACGTGTTGTTGTAAAACTGATGAAGATGTTTTCTTAATTTGCGGGTGTTTTTTATATTTGCTTGTGTTTTCTTCAGCGCTCTCTCAGCCACTGTATCTGACTCAATAGACAGGCTGTAATCATTATGGAAACCATATATTAAGACATTGAGAGCTGGGTTAAGAATTGGTTGACAAAGCAGATAAGAAATAGTGGTTACTTAGAACATGGTGAACTTGACAGATTTATTTTCTTGAGCATCAGGGACAGACCTGGCTGTCACTTGTGTAGAAAGTGAGGTGTAGGGTGATTCTATTTGTGGAAGTTCAGTTATATGAGTTAGCAGTTCAATTGTGATATTTCAGAAAGATTGGAAATCCTGAGGAGATTACAACAAAGGCCACCTGAGGCCCTGCTGACAGCTCACTCAGTAACAGGACTTTTCCAAGGAGCTCACAATGAACAAATAACATGAGAGCGTATAGATGAGGGAAAGAAAACTAGAGTGTGGTGACAAAGAATAGAAAATAAATTCTTGCTGATCAGCATAGGTTTGACACTGAAAGCAAACACAGCCAAAGCAAATAGAGATTTATAATTTTTTGCTAAACAGCTTTTCCAGAAACAAACCTCAAAATACTAAATGCCTGATAACTGTGTCATATCTGCAAATAACATTTGGACACAGCTGTGCTGCAATGCATCTTAGAAACAGACCGGAACAGTGGCGCCATATTACTTACTAATGTAGACCTCCGAAATGGCCTACAGTATTGCCGTCTTTCAGAGAAACAGATCATTCTTTAGAGCACCGTGGTGATGCCACTATTTCCAGCCTCTTTGATAAACAGTCTCTGTAGGACAAACAACATAGCTCAGACTATTTCCTGCAATCCGTCCTACACCCTTGTGAGTGCTTAGTAGTACCTAATATACACGCTGATCCATTCCTGTTCCCCCCCTCATAACCTATTCTCCCCACATCCTTCCATTAGGAGGCTGGTCCACTCACTCTGCCCTTTTTTTCTGGCTTGGAAAGAGACGGGTAGTCCACATATGAAAGGTTAATAAATGCCCTCTGAAGCCTAACTTGCGACAGAATCGCTAAAAAGCAGGCTAAGCCAAAGATAACCTCAAAGAAAGGAAAATTAATCTTTTGTCCACTGCTGGCAATTCAATCCACGGTTCCCCTTTAAGAATGAGATGAAAACACAGTGGCTGGAGGAGCAATAATGTCTCATTTACAGACAGAGCACAAAAGAGCCTTCTTGCTTTTATCTGCACAGAACAGCATTGCCATCATCATACTGAGGGATAAAAACATGGAGGAGATGCATCAGCCATTCTAAGAAATAAAAAAAAATGGAGAAGAACAATCATGAGATGGTGGGCTCTGTCTGAATTCCTGTATTTTTATTTGACCCTGGGGCCAAATGTTGGGGAAGATTAGAAAGATTCTAAGGGCCCTGGACCACTCTTCGACAGAACAATTTGATTCACTGATTTATAAGTACTTTTTAAAATTCTATTTATTGCTATGATGGCAAAGCTGAATTTTTTGTGTCACATGATCCTTCAGAAATACTTTGCTGATTCGGTGCTCAAAAAACATATTTGATTTATGTAACATAAATGTTGTTACTGCCACTTTTGATCAGTTTAATGCATTCTTGCTGAATTAATGCAATTGTATGGGCTGATGCCCAGGGGCCTACACTGTGGAGGGGCATGCTGGCTGCATGGAAATAATACTTTTTTTTTCATAATTATTTTTATATATGGGAGATTACAGAAGTGAATAATACATTCTTTATGACCAAACTCACATCCGTAAATTTTCAGAAATTACAACCGCATTTTCACCAAAGCCCTGCTTTGTGAATGGAACCGGACTGTTTTCTAAATAAAAAACAAAATAACTATTTCAAGTGATGTTCACTAAAAATTGGATTGGAAGAAAAGTTTATGCCAGTTGAATATATACATATAGAGCACAAATTGAAATGTTTATATTGACTAATGGCCTTGTGACATTTGTATCAAGGGTTGTCCAGGGGCCTCTGGTTATTTGAAGGTGCCAGTGTTGCTAAATAAAAGTATTCATTTGTTTAAAAAAAAAAAAAAAAAATCTTACTGACCTCAACTATTTGAACAGTAGTAGATTAAAGTGTTTTAAAACCAGCACAAGTTCCAACCAGTAAATCACAGAAATGATTTGAAGACATACCAGAATAGTGGTAACAATATATGTGCGGTTCTGAAGTCCGTAAGTCTCATTAATGCCTGGAATGTAGGCCGCCGTGCTCACAAATTTCTCATCCTCATTCCAGTAACCCACCTGAGGAAAGATCAAATCAGGGACAGGAACTTAAGCATCATCAGAAACCTTTCTGAGATTTCCCACAGGAGACACTACATCAAATACAGTGCTCATTTAGTTAGGCCAGAGTGGATTGCTGAAACAATAACCATACAGGAGTCAGTGAATGTTTTGTTTAAACTATAAATGAAGAAATCCATCTGAGAAGTGTGAAACAGTCTGTCACATCGAGAGGCTTCCCAATCCTTTTCCTGATATTTAAGTACTTACTTTTTTCGGTCCCGTCGGCCTGAGCTCCATCACACTGACAGTGTAGTTTGTCCTTCGTCCCTTCTCGTTAAACTGAATGTGTCCCGTTAAGCCTTCAATCCGAACCTGAGTAAAAAAACACAGAGAATATGTCTTTCTTTCTTTCTTTCTTTCTTTCTTTCTTTCTTTCTTTCTTTCTTTCTTTCTTTCTTTCTTTCTTTCTTTCTTTCTTTCTTTCTTTCTTTCTTTCTTTCTTTCTCTCTCTCTCTCTCTCTCTCTCTCTCTCTCTCTCTCTCTCTCTCTCTCTCTCTCTCTCTCTCTCTCTCTCTCTCTCTCTCTCTCTCTCTCTCTCTCTTTCTTCTTTCTTTCTCTCTCTCTCCCTCCCTCCCTCCCTCCCTCCCTCCCTCCCTCATCCCCAGGGTGTACATCTCTCACAGCGCCTCTTCTGTGTGTACAGTACAGAATGTCTCCCAGGCTGAATGATGGAGTTAATTGACCGAGTTGAACATCAATCTCCCTGGTCTCCCAGCAGATGGACCAAATTGCCTCAGTCCAGCACACATCAGACTCTTTGCAGACATAGCCTGCCTCTGCAAGAAGAATGCTACACACTGAGTTTACTATATTGCTTAGACCTCCTCACACTTATAATTACAGTAAGTTAAGTGAAATGGAGAAACGAATGATACGGCTAGAAGAAAATACCAATTTGTGTATGGCTTCTCAAAGAGAGGGCATTTCTAAACAAGATTTCAAATAAGTCTCATTTGGTTTTTTGGAACAAATTCTGCTAAACCTCGCCTGCCAAATTTTATGCTCTGCGCTTAAATATTCATACGCTGCCTAAAGCGAAGAGACAAACATCTGCCTAAGGGTAACACAACAAAGCCAGGTGTTCTTTCCCTCTCTTCGTAAATATAACTTGTCATGTGCTGTTAGGACCAGCATAAATGTTTATCGCCAACAGGCGTTATTATCCGCAGTGTCACATTTGATTGCGATGGTCTCTTCGGTGAATCAATGTGAACTTTATGAGACAAAATAAAGATGTAATTTGCTTATTGGGGTTTTATTTTGTCCACTCAGAATAGATTAGAATCAGTGTCAGTCTTGCAGATTGAACGTTTATGTTTATGAACGATGTGTTCATTTAAAAATATGTCTGCGTGTGCAGTCCCAACAGGGAAAGATACCTGCTGAAGTGCTCTCTGAATATCAATGCCCTGGCCCCAAGGTGCTGGTGGGTTGGCCAGACACTCTCCCGCGTTTCCACGTCGAGATATATCTATCCTCTGCCTGCGGAGGTTCTGGAAGGCTGTGGACATGACTTTGACCCCATCGTATGTGAGAGCTCCAGTGTACTGCATAAAGAAGTACATTTAATGTATTTAGTTTTATTTAATGTACATACACATAATATATAATGCATATATATAAACCTAATTACATGGAGGTTTTTGTACTTCTTATGTATCAGGTTTGAATTTGTTCTTTACATGGAGAAATGTACCTTCAGTCCTCGCTTGGGAACTTTGGCATCTTTGTTTTCAAAGTCCAACCACTGCTGCACTGTCCTACTAATATTAGGGTTTGCGTAGTTCACCAGCTGGAAGCCTGTTACATTCGCCTCACCCTTCTTAAACTCTGTCAGGTCGACGTCCAGAAATCCCTACAGGAGAATCGAGAACATGTTAGCATGACATACTGTGATTTCAATTACAGTAGAGCACACAGAAGGTTTCCAAAGTCAATAAGAAGATAACAATCCAATTTCAATCAAATGCCAATCATTAAATGCAAGTAATTGACTCAATTGAAAAGGGAAACCAATCTGAGACGAATCCATTGCGATTGTTTAAAAAAAAAAATCCAACTTAAGACCTCCACAAGAAATGGAGGTTGAATTCGCAGCAGAGGGAGTCATTTCCACAATAAGTGTAGCGAGAGAGCATAAGGCCGGGCCTGTGGAGTCCTGTCAAATGTAATTCAGGGTTTAAAATTATAATGGAAAGAATGGTTGGGTCAATCACTTAATGAAAAAGGCTAATCCCTCTCATCCACTGAGGCTGGTTATCCAAGAAAGCTCGGTTGTTATCCGATGTGGTGCTGGAAAATGCAGGAGCTGTGAATACGAATTTGAAGTAAAAAAAAAAAAAAGTGACACATCAAGACAGTTATCTGGAGGTTTGTCTTTAATCCCAATGGCTCTATTCAGTAGTTCAAAGACTTTTCTCACAATCATATCAGCTAAGGCAAGCTGCCCCAGAGCAGCCCACACACTCTGCGTACCAGAGATCATACCGAACTAAATCTAACCTGAACTATTACAAGGAATGTTTCATTTCATGAAGTTGACTATTTACTCATATAAGCTCAAATATAAATGTTTGTGTACTAAAAATCAGTTTGTGTTTAGCTCAAAAACAAAATACGTTGGTGCAGTCTCACACTAAGTTTTGAGTGTAATAGTCTTTGTCAGGCTGTAAGTGTGTTGATCTTTGATATTTTATCCCTTAACACGCTTGGTCCCCCAGGAGCAGTAACATGTCCCTGTGTACCCTGGGAACATCTGCTTCGTACGTTTCTAACATGACCTCACGCTTGTGTCTTAACTCAAATACCCTCTCACACACATATAGGCCTACTGGTCAGAATCATAAGACTGAATAGTATACTTGGCAGACCGTGCAATGTGTTTTTTTTTTTTTTTTATGTCAGACTATATGATATGCAGCAAATCTTTTGGACATGTGTTACATTTGACAGTGTCGACAAGGAAATGAAACATATCACGTTCTGACATCCTTACTGACAGGAAAAAAAAAAAATGAAATGGCTCCGCAGGGAAGTCCCATATGCCAATGTTGGCCCATATTGCTTGCCCACTAATTGAAATATGCAGAAGGAGAGGCTGTCAACCTAAAAATTATGGTGACACCCCTCAAAAGGATCCCTCGCTATAAAATATATTTAGCAAAAATATTATTGTAACTATAAACTAATGTTAAAAAGTAAAAAGTTATTTAGCAGAAATTAATACTTATATTCAACATGAATGTATCCTATTTATCAACGGCTTCATAAAAAAAATGATTTCACATTAAATAATAAGAAGAAATGTTTCTTGAGAAATGTTACTTTGAATACTGGAGTAATGGTTGCTGAAAATTCATCTTTGCCATCACAGGTATAAATTACATTAAAAAAATTATTTTAAATTGAAATAATATTTTACAGCCTATTATCATTGTTACTGAATTTTTGAACCAAACTTTGTTTGTAAAAACATCAAAAAATCTTACTAACCCCAAGCTTTTGAATGCTAGTGTGTGTTTTCATGCACAAATAAAGACCCATTTATAAAAAATAAAATAAAAAAAAAAACTCCCTACTGGAACCTACCATTCCACAGGGACAACCCAAAGTATCCTGTAACATCAAATCAATTCTTGGAGGGAAGTGCTATCACACGGCTGGCCTCAGGGCTGAAGCGTCACACAACCTCGTTTCACAGCCTCACCAATCTCTGTGGTATGAGTGAACAAGGCACTCAGAGATACACAGGGTGCCTGCATCACTGCACATACCGTATATTTTGCCATGCTGTTACTGAGCGCACAACTGATACGCATTTCATTACAAACTCTCAAGTATGAAACATGGCACATTCTTCCCTCAATCAGCATGACTACAGTCTTGGAAGGCAATCAAGAGCTCATTCACCAAGCAAATTTATAATAAATTAAAGGAGAAAACAAATCAAGCAGTTTGCAGAATGAAACTTTCACTGATTTCAAAAAGAGCAAAACTCTCATTGAGACACTTCTGATCAGTATCATTTCAGAAAGATAAATGTTTCAAAAAAAAAAAATCTTTGGCAGGTTATACATTTTTAATCATTGACTACTTTAACTTTTGAACCATTAGCTCATAGGTTCAAGAGTAGCACAATACTCGCAAGAACTACAATGAAGCAGTGTTGTTATTGTTGTTAGTGTTGTTATAGTGTTGCTAGAACTAAAACATTTAAAAATTAGGGTTGTCTCCCATTTTTGGTAACTAATGAATACGATTTTTAAATGTTTGATAAATAAATGAAATAAGATTAAGTTGAAATTAAAGTTTAAATGCAAGTTGAATTAAGTTGAATGATTTAACAAGAGTTAGAAGGCCTAAAATTAATAGTTATGTTTGCCTTGAATTGAATCTGCCTGGTTAGGCACACCACGCAAGGGACTCAATGAGTCTATAACCAATCGAGAGATGGAGGAGAAATGAGGCCAGGAGTCATTACTGATTACAAATTGCAAGTTGCTTTCTGAAGCACTGCCACTGCTCTCTCGTGATTGGCCTCATCTTTCTTTTTTCTTTTCTTTTTTTTTTTTGTTCAGCAGGACGTCTTTTGGCATTCCTTCTCATGTCAACTATCTGCTCTCATAGCAACAGTGACATCCTGTTTCCTGGAACAGGGCACCAATGATGATATCCTTCAGTTGTATGTGACTGATATAATTGATTTCAGGGTTTTGACAGATTTTGTTCATTTTTGCCAGTCTTGTTCTCTTGGCTCAGCGTAATTATTCTCAATTTCAGGCGTAGGCGGTCCTCCCACTCTAGAACCACAGAGAGGGTTTTTGCCCATCTGATCCTACAAAAACTCACTGTACACCAAGTGAATGATCTAAGGAATGCAAGATTTTGAGTAAAGACACCTTTATAATCATTACAAGTTCTTAAATCACATCAGTCAAGCACAAGACTCGAGAATTGCAGCCAAAATCTGAGATATGGTGGATGTGTCTCCTTAGCATGCAGTACGAAAACCTGCACAGTCTCTGTCTGTGTTACACCATTAGGATATTTCCACAACACTACAAAAAACATCTTGGTAACGGATGTAACCTTCGTTCCTTGAGTAGGAAACGGAGACGTTTCTGTCAGATGATGACGAATGGGGGTTTCGCTTAGAAAGCCTATCAACTTAGAGAATATACATAAGACCCGGAGGGATGCATATGAAGAACACTGGGACGTCCAGCCGCAGGTGGAATATTTCAACCCCAGGGAACCCAAAGGAACAGTGGAAATACACATGTGGGGGTCGCTCAGAGGAGGGACCATGCACACGGGAGACACCTAGCAGATGCGCAGGCAATAGACACTGGCGTCGATGTCAGGAGTGCTGGAGGGACTCAGGGCTTTTGGGCAAGCTCACCTGAGAAGGATATCACACATATCCAGTCCTTGGAGTGGAATGGCGAGCAACCAAAGACACCTTAGGGATCCAGTACTGGCTGGTTGAAGCGAGTACATGAGAGGACAATGGCTCCACTCTGAGATTGTAGAATCTGGCGAATGTGTTGGGTGTCGCCCAGCCTGCAGCTCTGCAGATGTCTGTTAGCGATGCGCCATGCGCTAGAGCCCAAGAGGACGCCACACTCTGGGTGGAATGGGCAGTCACACCAAGGGGGCACGGTTGACCTTACTGCTGGTATGCCAAGACAATGGCGCCCACTATCCAGTGAGACAGCCTTTGCTTGGAGAGAGCCTTTTCCTTTAGCTTCCCACCATAACAGACAAAGAGCTGGTCTGAGGTCCTGAAACACTGTGTTCTGTCTACATAGGTGCGGAGAGCACGTACTGGACAGAGCAATGCCAATTCAGGGGCAGTGCTTGTAGGTTCAACACCTGGTCCCGGAAGGGAGTGGTAGGAACCTTGGGCACATATCCATCATGTGAGAGTAGGCCGGCCCAAATTCCAGGCCCGCTTCGACAACGGAGGAAGCACATGGATCCTAACAAGAGACAAGGGCTGACGTAGTGCCCGTGCAGCAGGGCAGATGGGTGACTGTAAGAGACCTCCTAACTTTTTTATTATGAAAATACTGATCTTAAAAAATAACAAGAGACACGGATCCTCTGAAAAAAGAAAAGTAAAAGATTAATCTTTTTAAGAATGAATATTGGGTTTTTCAAACTGATGATTTATTTTTTCATTCTCTCCTCTCGGATGTACTTGTAGCAGGTGTTCATATCTCTCAACTGAGTGGATAGAGTTGTATCTTTTTCTGCTTGGTGTCCCTGTAAATGTGGTGCAGTGAGTTGGTGATGTTACTATAGAAACTAGCCTTTACCCAAAAGGCTTGAACACAGAAGGGAAGCTTACACGGGCATCCACTCAGATACAAACGTCCATGTATGCACGTGCGCACACACACACACACACACACACATACATGCAAACATAGTGTAAATAGAATTGAGCTCCCCGTCGTACGACTCTAGGAGTAATTTGCTCACTTCTTAAAATTTGGCCATTATGGAAATAGCAGGCAGTTGCAAATCTTTCTTTATTGCTTTGCAACCTTTATCGTTTATCATTTACAATTACATCTAACAAAGCGTCCAGACGAGTTTCATTTAAAATCTTCAGCAGTGTGCCATCCAGGAGCACCCCACAGCATATTAATGCTGCGATTATCATAATTTCTGTTTAAATCAATTTAGCCCTCCGTTATCATACGTTGAACGCACCTACAGACAAAGACTGCAGAAATCACATGTAATTTTTCATATTCACAGAGCAGTTCTCCAGGCAAGGTTTATATAACATCTCATTTGTTAGTCATAGTGAGCATCTTCTTACGATTGGTCAGGACTGAAATATGCAAATCACTTGTAATATCAAGAGTCCAGTGACATTTGAAAGCCTAATGCTGAGGTTTAGTCATGAGATCTCTCATAGTGCTGAAATGAGATTTTTTTTTTTTTTTTTTTTTTTTTTTTTTTTGTGGCTTACCAGGTTTGCTAGGATGTAGTGATAACTCTTCACGTTCTTCCCAAGCTCGATGATCTGAAAGGGACCAATAAAAATAAGATGAAAAGTTACAGTGGTCATTTTGGAGAACACAGCACTTTATAAGTAAACCCACAAATATGAATTAATCACATGGTAATATAATATTTGCTGTCACATAACTGCAAAAATTTCTTTTATTTTTAGTTTTTCACTGCATTCATCAATCGAATCAGTAGTCAATGAGCATGCGTTAAACTGTATTATTGCCCAGCTCCGACTATAATGCATTAAGACATTAAAATAGTATAAACACTGAAATTGTGATTTTCTATCAAGCTTCTTTGAAACAATATGTATAGTGAAAAGCGCTATAGAAATAAATTTTACTTTACTATAATTATTATTTTTATTATTTGAACCAAATCAATAAATATAATACTATTTAGTGTCCCTTTACCTCAAACAGTACTCACCAAAGTTATGGTAAATAAATAATAATGATTATTATCTATATTCTATAACAACACCAATAATAATAATTATATTTATTTATATTTATTTTGTGTTTTACTTCAAAGAGTACACACCAAAGCTATAGTTTTGATTCCTAGCAAACAAATGGATTTATAAAATGTATAATGTGAGTCACTTTGAATGCAATGTAAGTCACTTTGATGAAAGTGTCTGTAAAATGCATAAACATGTAACATTTAAATAATAACAACAACGGCACATTTCATCTCCATAATATGACTACAATTCTGAGCCTTCATCTTTACACTTCAGGGTTTTTCAAAATCAAAATGGCTATGTTTTCAGAGTAAAAAAGAGGAGAGGAAAGAATATTTGTGATGTTCGTTTTTGTGTGTGTATGTGGCTATAGAGATACTGTAAAAAAAGCTTTTGCAGACATGAAGAGTACAACAGTGGTGAAAAACAATGAGTCATACTCTGACGGGGGAGGAACACTACTATAGTAGCGCTCTCAGTTCTGTTTGGTACACACTGACCGAGGGTCACAGCCTTAACCTGTGTGGATGTACGTGAGTGTGTAGAGTGCAGTGTCAATGGGTTTCAAAGACTTTGACACCATCAAACTGTTATGTTATGGCTATAATTAAATAAAATCCTCTGCATATGCTCAGGATGTACATGGCTAATGGGATATTTAGAAAAAACAATAAGCGATCGTAAAGGACAATTCTTTGACTAAATTGTATATGTGACCAAATTATATGTAGATGTTTGTTCTTACACACTTTTCTGTAAAATGAAGTGAAAGCTGACTTTAGCTAGTCGCCATGACAGACAGTACCAGAAGTTATATTAATGGTGACCTTTGGCAGGCCAACCCAGGGCGGAAAACACTACTGATAAGGACTTGGTCTTCTTGTGTATTTTAGTGCTGTGATCAAAATTAATGGGAGAGTTCATCCTAAAATGTAAAACTCACCGTCACATTGTTCCAAACATGAATGATTTTTCTTTTGTTTAACATAAAAGAAGACTTTGAGAAATGTCTCAGTGGTTTTTATCCATGCAGTTGAAGTATCTTATCTTAAAAAAAATATCTTCTTTCATGTTCTGCAGAAAAAAAAGTCATTTAGATTTGGAATTAAATGAGGATGAGTAAATGATGACAGAATTTTAATTTTTGAGTGATCTTTTCAGTAATGCAGAACACAGGAATGAAAGAAGCTTCAAAAACCTTTTTATTTATTATTTTTTTTTTTGTGTGTGTGTGTGTGTGTGTGTGTGTGTGTGTGTGTGTGTGTGGCTTTTAGTCCATGTATGTAAGGATCCGATTACAGTACCAAAATCTGCTTTTTCACCATTATGTGAAACTCCCAATAGGATGCATTCCTATTGAAACTACTGGATTTTGCTGGGTTTTGCTTGCAAAACTTTGCTGAGAAATAGTAAATGTGACTCTACATGATAACACATGCTCTAAAAAGTTGACAAAAGACCTGTAGCAGAGGGAAATACTGGAAAGTGGACTAAAACAATGATTTTATCTCTTACTAAAGGGACAAACTGTGTTTGTCAAACTACTGGGGTCTTAAAAATGGGAAATATTTTAATATAAAAAGCTCCACACAACATATTGCATGCTAAGAGAGCGATGGAAAACATGTACAGAGAGTTTTTCCTCAGTTAAATCATCCCCCTGTGTTAGTGAAAGAATCAAAGTGGGGGAAAATTACACTACTGTTGTTTTACGGTATGATTGGTGGATGCGTGGAGATAGATGATTGCTTTCAGAGAGGAAAAAAAAAATTGTCTAGACATGCTGTGGAAATTGCCACCAAATGATGCAATAGCCTTAACTGTGGCCACTGTGATATCAATAACACAACATGACCTGTCGAGGGTCTTCTGTTTGAGTCATGAAATAGAAGAAAGAAAAAACGGGAAGAAAATACACGCTCTCATTAATTACAGTAACAGGACGCTTTCTCCTCCTGCAGGCAGTGGAGAGAGCTAAGAGAGAAAGTGACGCGTCACTATGGCTCCGCTGCCAACCCCAAATGTCAACCCAATGTTATTTATCGGCTTCATCCAGCGCTGAGAGAGAGAGAGCATCTTGGGGCCACTCCATCCCATAAGAGTGGCCAAAGACAATGAATATATATATATATATATATATATATATATATATATATATATTAGGGCTGTGCAAAAATTAATTGCGATTAATCACATCCAAAATAAAAGTCTGAGTTTACATAATATATTTGTGTGTGCTGTATATAATTATTTTGTATATATAAATACCTATGCATGCATGTATATATTTAAGAATTATTTGTGCTTAAATTCTGTATATATATATGAATACATAATCTATATTATATAAATATAAATATTTTATATACGAATAACACATTTTCTTAAATAAATACATACATGTGTGTGTATTTATATATACAAAATAATTATATACAGCACACACAAATATATTATGTAAACACAGACTTGTATTTTGGATGCGATTAATCGCAATTATTTTTTGCACAGCCCTATATATATATATATATATATATATATATATATATTCATAATGACACGGTTAATAGCAGCATTACAGATGACTAGGTGTTTGAAGACATATTGTGGTCTTAGTACATTTGAAGGAAAGAACATGCTTCATTTGCATCGAAAATTTGAATCCCAAATTCATTCGGAGCATCTGACAACATGTACGACTGTAATAAGACTGGTGAGAGTCCATTACCTTCTTCAGGATGGAGGTGAGTCTCTCCAGCTCACAGTCAATGATGATCTGGCCCTCCTTTCTTTTGTCCAGGTCCTGGAACACTTTGAGGAACGATGCTTCTGTCATTGTCTCCACGTTCACGGAGGTCACTAGCCAGTTATGCTCTGCTGCTGTGTCCAGAACCTTCTGCAGAACTGCCAGTCCTTGAATAAAAATGGGAAATATTAGGTTAGAACTCAAAAAAAGTTGAGTTACATGAATTTTAAGTTAATAAACTACACAGTTAATTTACTAGAACTTTAGATTTTAATTTTGCATTTCACAAGCGATCTAACTGTACTTCAACTAACAATTTTGTAGGAAGATGGGACCCTTAATGTGAAAAGTTGTGTGAATTGTACTGTGTAAATAATGGCATGTGATAGTACAGTATGCCTAAGCTAATTCATTAAAAAGTCATTCTAAAGCAGATCGAGAGCTTAGAGTATCGACATTACTGTATGTTATGAGTGCCACAATGAATGTCACTTTATTGGCTGTGATTTCAGAAAAAGCTGCCGGGAAGATACAGACCAGTGGAGAGTGAAAGCCACACTGTTCACAGACAGGAAATTGTGTTCAATTAGTGAAGACATTGATCTTGGCATGGGATTGCATGTGGGAAACCCCCAAAGGACCAACCAGCTTTCTCCCTAGACACCAACAAAAAAATCTCTCTAGATCAAAATCAATGTGCTTAGTAGCCATTAGAGCCAACAATATCCACTTTTTGGAGCAGCCCTAAAACCAAGAACATGGTTATGATTCCTGTGGAGGCAGCTCACTAGGTTTTGGAACAGAGTGATAGTGTCTACACATACTGTAACACGAGCCGCATCTCTCGCATAAGAACTGAGCAGTTTTAAAGGATCATAGGATCCCATGACGTGATGACAGTTGAAAGCACAAGCATGATGATTGCTCTTATTATGCTGCTGCTGAGAGCTTATGCTCCTTGTGTTCTCAGTACTTCAGCACCATGGTCAGCTCCTCCAAACTCATCAAAACCTCTCCAAACACTCAAATGCACACTTTAACAGCCATCTAGGTTTTTAGCTGTGTAAGTATTTCACACAATAATTCAGTATCCAGTTTTAAAAAAAAAAATCCTTCTCAAAAACTGACTATGAAAGTCTATGACTGCCTGTAAATTGTGGCAAGCTTAACAAAGAGACATGAATACAGTAACTCCCCTGTTAGCATTTATCTTGGATTTTTTTTTTTTTTAATGAAATGTTTAATGGACTTTGGGTGCTGTTCAAAACATAACACAAGTTTAAGTAAAAAAATAAAGGAAGAAAAAGCATGCACTTGAATTTTATAGCCTTTGGTTAATGCAACACCACCCAACTGCTGTATGAGTTGCAATTAAAAGGAGAGAAACAAGGATGCACACATTATAATTTATGGGACCAATGGATCCGGCAGCAGTGATAACAGGAATAAATGTTTAATTTATGGGGTGAGATGGACCACAAAATAAATTTGAGGTAGCTGTGACTGTTCCAGAAGAATCATTCTATGCACTAGACTACAATAGGGACTATACACTTAAATGATTTAAGGATTAGTTCACTCCAAAATCAAAATTCAGTCATCATTAGTTTACCATTTTACCTCAACAACATATGACTTTAATTTAATTGTGGGACACTAAAACAATACATTTTGGTGAACTAATGTGATGAAAAAAGAAATAAACAATTAAAATGATGCAAACACACCATAAGAAGTATCATACAAGGAGTCTATATGAGTCCTTTTCACTAAACTTGACATCCTTCACAACTAGGAAGTGTTATCCACTTTGTGAATGAGTCAGATCTTTTCAATAAATCAGTTGATCTAGTTCACAAAACTGGTATAAAAGATTCACGAGTTCGCCTGCCCATTCAGTCTTAATTGCTGTCCTCAAAGGAGGCTCAAACCAGAGGCTTGGCTCGAGCTCCGAGCTAGACTCTCCTATAACAGCACTGTGCAGAGGAAGAATAAGAGAAATAGAGGAGGGATATGCAGTGACTGCTGATAATTGACAGGACTGAATGTAGGCTCCTCCCAAACCTTTGGAACTTCATTTCATTCACAAGTCTAACTGTTTCAGTTCTTGAGTTCACAGTCATGATGATCAGTAGCAGTGATTAACAGGCACCATATTTAAATTTCAGTCTGTTTCTCATACTGTTGGCTTCAGTGGATTTGAAATATAGTGCATAAGTCATGCTAACTATACATTTATGATATTTAAATGGAGCATTTGTGTCCTTTTTGTAGCTGTAATGGGGACTAAACGCATAGAAAAAAACAACAAGTCCAATTATTCAGAAATTACAGGAAAAATCAATTGGAGTAAATAGAAACTTATATAAATAGTCCAGCATTCCCAAGTGAAGAAAGCATATATTGACGGCAGGAGTGAGGAATATTGACTTTTGAGCACTTGCCCTTTGACCCCTCTGCATCTGAGCCAGTGCTGCTTCCTGTTTGACTCAGTGTGAGTACAGCTGGACCACTTTAAGACTGCAGGGTGATTTGACATTAAGGAGCTCACACTCCCAGCAGGCTGAACAAATGGCTCACGATGCACACAGAGAACAGGACCAGCGGGGGAAGACGTCTCTCCTTAGCCTCATTCTCACTCATCTTGTGGCGGTGTGATGCCAGAGGAGTACTAAGCCAACATGCAAAACAGCACATGGCAACGGCTACGGTTTTATACGTATAGGTAGCTAACAGCGTGACTGGTTCACATACGGGCTACATGCACTCTCACACGTATGTCCTTAAAAGGCTTAAAATAACCCTGTAGATAGTGCCGCGCTGTATCTAGGCAACAAGAGGCTGCCGATATGGATTCCTGCAGTTTCGTTCCTCTAAGTAACAGAGGTAATGATCCCACAATCTTAACCCAGAGCCCTCAGCACTTCAACAAGATAAAACCATCACTGAGACACTTGTGGCGTGCATATAGGCAGCCATCAAACCTATTGTGTGCATACAGCGATGACAGAACTGTCAGCGACAAAGCAAAAAAGATGAGCTGGAAAGAAGAGGGCTGGCGGTGAGAGTGTTATGGGTAACTACATTTCTTAAAAAAGGCTAATATGCAGATCACGCAATGCTCCCATCATGGTCAGCTGAGTTGAATGTCTGTGACAGATGGTGACACTTTTTAGGGACACTGCAGCCGATTGGCTGGGTGGGTGGGTGGGGGGGGGGGGGGGGTGGAAAGCACACCTGGTGCTGACAGTTGTGTCAGATTTTACCTTTTTTATTGAGCAGCACCGGATGCCCATGACTTTTCTAGAGCAGATCTGGGAATTTCAGGGGGGTTTTTTTGAAGTGAGAAGAGACAGGCAATCAAAATTCCCGTGCTATGGGATGGTAGGTGGCAAAAGGTCCGAATTTAACACTCGTCAAGCAAATGCAAGTCAAATTTGGGTTAGTAACCACTTGTCTGGTAACTTTCTTAACAAGTGTGATAAAATCAAATCTGACGTAAAAGACTTGCGTTATTTAAATAAACGACAAACGTCTACCAAAGAAGCCATCTGTCATGACGTCTTCTCAATTTTGACCAAATTAAAAATTTGCAAAACATACGTGAAATATCCTTCACAAAAAATGAAAAAAAAAAGTCAAATAAAATATGAAGAACCAAATTATTAAAGCTGCCTCATTAATGTGCATTACACGAGAATTCTGTCATTATTTACTTACCCTCATTTTGTTGCAAACATGTATTTCTTTCTTATATGGATAAAAAAAAAGAAAATATAATTTCATGGCTTGTAAAAAGATTTGGTACATTTTCTCAATTCATCACCCCTGGCATGTGTGGTAAAAGAGTTAATTTTGGACACTTCTTGGAATAACAATGAAAGCATGTGCAGAGGTGCTTTGGAATTGGGATTTTTCTTTCCTCAGCCTTCAGCTGGATATATTTTACTCTGGCACAATGGTTTCATTCTGGCAGATATTCATGGAGAAAGATGCACAAATGAGCTCCAAGTGCAGGGGAGAGATGCATTCACTCAAATCAGACCACTATTGTTCATCCCAGAAACACACAAGCAGGCTGCTCTCTCATGAGTCATATCTATATCTGTCCACAAACAAATGGGGAACAAAAACTGACTCAATGTTCACACCAGCAATGTCCGAAAACTGATGTAATTCAATTTAGCGCATGGTATTTCAGCACAAAAAAAACAGTGCATTATTCACTAAGCACCCACAAAACAGTTTAAAGGGTCATGAAACCCTAAACCCAATTTTCTGAGATTTTAACAGAGGTATGTGTGTTGAACACCATTGAAGACAATGGACAATTTTTTTTCGCTATTTTCGTCTTCCGGGTTTAAAATCTTCATTGTGTCCACGTCACAGGCTGTGACATGACAGTGCACTGTGAGTGCTTTGATGACTCATCGGTGTCTCATTATTCATGAGACAGAGTTTTCTTATCCTATGAGAAGACACAGTCTCTTAATTATTCATGACACCACGTGGATCTTTCCAATGACAGACATGTCAAAGTGTGATATCGCGCAGTAGGTGAGCAAAAGTTCCAGTGCGTTGCATATCTTTCTCCGCGATGCTGCCAGGGCTAGACAAACGTGCTGGCGCGTTTTGCTGGATTCTTTTTATTTTTTTTTTCACATAGCAGCAAAATAGACTTTAAATAAACTGTTAAATGTCTATTTTTTATGTGTCCCTTACAATCGGAACAAAACAGTGTGCTTTCATAAAATAAAGAAGGATGTGCTTTCTGCTGTTTCTGTGAGCTGTTTTTTTTTTTTTTTTGGGAGCACGTCTCTAAACTTAAACAAAACACAGGAAATAGGCTACTATTCACCCAGGCAAGAGCAGTATATCTTTATAATCATTTAAAAATCTCCGTTTTACCACTGACTTTTAGTGACAGTTGCATGGGCCACTGGCCAATGACAGATATCCCGCCCTCACCTGCCTTGCCATACCACACCCATTCCCCTCCCTTCTTCTCACAGCCATCCATGCCCATTTAAGTTCCATTTTTCAAAAAGATTAATTTCATGACCCTTTAACCCTCTGGGGCCTTTTTCTTTTATTAAGGTGTTTTTTTATTTTATTATAGTTTATTTAGATAGGGACAGATGCAGATAACATAGATACACTTTGACAGTGATCTGATGCATGTATCAATGTTTTTAGCCAAAGCTAATTTACAACATTAGTCCCTAGAAGGGCTTTTTTAGTAAAATGCAATACATGCAATACAATACACGAGCAATACAAAACAATAAGGGCTTTTTGATAAAATGTAGTACAAGAATAAAAATACTCATTTGTGGTCCTTGACATGCCCTGACATTTTTGCTCTTTTCAGTTGCTTATAAACATATTACTGGCAAAGGTGAAATTACACTCTATTTAGCACAAACAGGGCTACCAGAATATATGAGCAACATGTAGTATGTACATGCTATTATTTTTGAGAGAATGTTGTTTATGCATGTTATTGAAAAAAATTAAAATGAAAGTTTCTGAAATAAGGCCACAAAATACATACTAAATATGTGTCCACAAGACTTTTGACTAATGGATGTTGTGGCCTAGAGTTTTTTTTATCCAAACTGTGAATTGTTTTAAATTGTGAAAACTTTTTTTTTTTTTTTTTTTTTTTTTTGGAAAGGCAATTTGTGAATGGACGGCCCAACCCTTGTCATGAATAATTAGATGGTTCTCACCTGAGAAGACAAAGACCCACATAATAATGAGCCTTTCATTCAGGTGTGTCACACAAGAAAGAATGCAAGGACAATATACCCATATCTATAAGAATTGGTTCAATGTCAGAGATGGAAACAATTTAAAAAGAGAATTCTTTTTACGTATAAAGTATTATTTTTTTAAATTAGGCCAATAAACATAAAAATAAACACGATGCACGTTTTACCTTCTCTCTGTCAGTGAAGTTCATTCTGAAACGCGTCCGAAAAATGAACTGTAACTCAGCAAATACTTTTGCAAACTTCAGCAAATAAGATTTGCACATTAAACATTTCTCATTTTAGAGCACCTTTAGACAGATATTTATAGAGACTTTCTATTGATTATGTCAGTTTAAAAAAAAAATGAATGCAGAACCCCAAAATATGAATACCGTGCTAGTATACTGTGTGAGAAAAAAATAGTGAAATTGACAATATTATTATCTAAATTTACATTAATAATAAATATTATTATTATTTAAAAAGGATTTTCTTTTTCAAGACACAAGATCATGGAAGTAGTTATACATAAAATAAAAAAAAATCAAATGCTGTAAACAAGAGTGTGTAAACAAACAGTGCTATAAGTGGGTGCAATTCATTTTTAGACAATTCCCTCCAAAATCCAAATATTTCAAATCATAAAAAGCAGTCCTCACCAGAGTCCGAGCTGTACATGTAGACGAACCTTGACCACTTGTAGTGCTCGATAACGCCCACCAGGGCATCTTGCAGTTCGGGTCTCAGCTGGATGACAAACTGGTTGGAGTTTTCCATGGGGAAGCTGGGCGTCACAAAGCAGACATGTAGTGCACCGCAGAATGACATCAACATGTTGACGGTCTTCCTGTCGTACACACCGATGATGGCATACACCCCTTTTGAGAACTGCGAACAGACTGGAGACGACAACAGAACACGATTTACAATACAGACATCATCATGTCGCATTGTTAGCATATTGCTGGTTATGTTATTAATTTCCAAGAAGCAATTAGTAAACATTTCAATATGCATCACTGGACTGGAAATGGTGCGGATGGAGTTTCTGAAGAGGCAGATAATCAATGCACACACAAAGGGTCTTGCTGACATTTACCAAACAGCAGGGTGCTTTTCTATCTCTGCTGCCTTGAACGATGAGTATCTTTTCCTCTCCTCGTTGGTGGTAAAAAGGCCTCAATCGGTTTTGAACTAGGTTTCCTGGTGTATTTTAATGCTGTATCATACTCTGTTGTTGCTATCTTTGCCCTGGCGGAGGTTATTTTTCACCATGGCTCCGGCCCTCACGTTTCAGTCCCGCAACTAAACAGATTGAAGTTGCAGTCTGTTCGCTGCCTAAGGCCCAAATCCCAGCAGGGGCCGCCTGAGGGGCACAGAGGGAGTAAGAGCGATAGGCATGGCCATCACCCAAACTGCCTGCCCCATCATGGAACAGCCCACAAGCAGTGCAGGGTGCCAACTCCCCCAGCATGTGTGTTTTGTGTGTGTGTGAGTTTGTGACCACTGGCCTTAATCACATGACCTATGACTCATTTTAACATCCGGCCAAAACACTTTATCTGTATGGTAGACATTGTCTCATTCTGAGCAAATTAGGCCAACATCTTATAAAGAGAATGTGATATTCAACACAGGAACACTCATTAAACTGTTCTCCATGCACTGTATATAAAAGTCATACGCTTGGTGCTAAGCAATAATGAGTGTGGCACGTCTATAACAGAAGCTGCCATGAGCTCTGAGGTAATATTGGGGGTGTTCTTATCCTCTTTGACTGATGACTTGCACATTAATTCTGTCTGGGCTGAGCTTTGTGGACCCGGAGAGAGAGAGAGTGAAAAGAGAAAGGAAGGTGGGGAACTGCATCCCTCTGTGCTAGCTATTACCAAAGACATATGGCATATTGAATCGAGATCCTCATCATACCATATGTGCTTATCTTGAATGGTTTCACATATTTTAAAAAAAAATGTTAATGCATACAATGTTAATAACCTGTGCTCATTCAACTACAACATATTGTTAGTCAGCTACAACATGGTTCCTAGCAACAGGCATCAGCAGAACATATTCATTAACTTTATTTGACATCATTAGGCATAATTCATTCTAAATGACTTAACTTTAATAACAGTGATATATTAGCCTAAATCAGCTTTAGTGTCTTGCTAATGTTTTTTTTTAAACTTGCAATGCTATCTGAGATAGTCACATTGATGCACTTGAGAGTGATGCGAGTGTGAGACACACTCCTTTCCTGATCCTTTCGCTCCTATTTTTAATGCACCATTTCCTGTTATTTTTCAATTTTTTCTACCAATAAAGCTAAATCAACTTAATGCTTATGCTAACCAAGACCTAATTTATTTGATAATTTATTTTGTATTGTAAAATAACCATTTAAATGTAATAACTCTAATAAACTATTTTTTTTTAAATACTTAAAAATGTATTTATTTTTTCCTGTAATGGCAAAGCTAAAATTTCAGCAGCCATCGGTCATGTGATCCTTCAGAAATCATAATAATTAGCTGATTTGGTCAGTAGCACCTCATTGCAGTACACGAGATCCAGGGAGTGGAGTTGGATCCAGACCTAAGGGGTGGAGATGGGTAGGATTAGGGGTGGGGTTAGGAATCAGGGGGTGGAGATGGGTAGGATCAGGGGTCGGGTTAGGGATCAGGGGGTGGAGATCGGTAGGTTTCGGTATATGTAAGATCTGGATCCAACTCCTGCCCCTGGATTTCGTGTTATGCAGATTTGGTGGTCAAGAAACATTTCTCATTATCATCAATGTATGAAACAGCTTAATATTTTTTGTGAAAATGGTGATACATTTTGATGCACCAAAATAGATGTTGATTATAAATAGCAAGTTAAAAACAGCAATCTCAAGTTAATCTCAACTCCTTCAATAACTTTGAAGAAATCTGTACTTGGAACAAAATTGGTTATCAAGTGAAGGACAACCATAATTTGTAATCGGAAAAGAAGTAAAAATAAATATCTGGTGAAAAAGGTTTTTCAGACTTTTCAGAAGGTTATCCAACTAAGAATACATAAACACAGGTTTTTAATCAGTAACTTATTTACAAAAATTTCAAAGGAAACCATTTGCCACACGGCCGTTGCCACTTCCTATGTGATTGTGCGGACAGTGTGCGGTTCTCTCTAGCTCACATCTGCTTGCCTGTTCTGAAAAGTTTCAACTGACAGGGAGCACATGGCTGTGTCATCCAGCCCTCTAATGACAGGAACACACTGGCCGCCTGCAGTGGTTTGTGTTAGCCTGCGTGGAGGCGTAAAACATGATGTGAACACTTCTGGCCAACCTGCTCTCTGGCCCTGCTAAAGATCCTGGCAGCATCTGCCCGTTCTGGCACCATCTCGCAAACAGATCTCCACGGGTCTGTTCGGCCCTACCAGACCCTCGACATGGATGACTGATGACTGTATTGAACACTCAGCTTGTCTGTGTCATGAGACTCATAGAGCCTTAGCCAAGCTGATGCTTTAAGCCTAGAAGCTACTGTAAAATATCCTGTTAAATTTACAGTTAGAAAAAAAGAAAAATGACAGCAGCATGGTATCAACATGGTAATGTTTCATTTTCTTCTACATCACAAATCTCTAACTCATCATATTCCATATGTTAATAATTATTAAAGGAATAATTCATCAAAAAATAAAAGAATCATTAATGTCCATGTCATTTCATGGACATGTCATTACAGCATTAATGTACATGTCATTACAGCAACAAGTATGTTTACACACACATATCTATAAATTATTATTATTATTTTTTTGCATATTCAAGCTAGTCTTCATCTATGTAAGTATACATGACACAATGTGTAATTGAATATTTGAAAGATTAAATACACACTGTGGGTCACTTCTGTCTTTCAATGTGTGCACAATGCAGAGACCAAGCATTACCATGCTGAACATAACATAGTGAATTAAGTCAATCTACAGTCCCATTATCTGCTAGTCCGATTTGACAGAAAACAGACTGGCGTGATTTTTTTCATTATTGAAATTATATTTTTAAATGTTTAAAGTTTATGTAAACACACAATTAAATTTTTCGCCTTTTAGCATCCTGATAATATTCTCCTTTTGTGTCCCACAAAACAAAGAAAGTCCGACATGTTTGGAACAACATGAGAGTTTAAGAGAGTTTACATTTTTTTAGTCAACTATTCCATTAAACGAGAAATATTTCGCTTTCTAATTCCAAAATCAACTGGCAACAGTGAATAAACAGTATATTCGTTGTAGCTTGACTGCGGAACTGGCTTTTCCAGTGTTTCTGTTTTTCCTCATACTACTGTAAATTAGATCAGTTCCACTTAATATATGTGAGGCCAGTCTATTTAAACGACAGCATGTCTAAGAGGTTCTTGCCAGGCAGAACTAGGAGTAAACCTGCTTTAAACTGCAGTCTGAAAGCAGTCTCACATAGACTCCCTCAGGAGAACCGTGGAGAATAAATAGTCATTATCTTCTCAATCTGTTTCACTCACTCACTATTTCTCTTTTCCTCCAATCGTGAGCAGAAAACCTGTGGATTATTGGAGCCTGCATGTGTGCCCTTTCATGTTTAGTTATTTGGTGTATGTTGATGTCTGATGACGTGTCTGTATGGATTATTTAAATCTCTGCAGTGGACTCAATTTTAAAGGACAGCAGGCAGCACCTCTTCCATCCACATCTACTGCTTTAATGAGGTGTTCTGCACGCTCTTTTGGCCTCCAGTCCACTGTATAAACACACACACACACACACAAAGGCACACAACACATATCCTCTGGCACACTCCAACAAACGCACACAAGCTACCTTTACAGTTCAAATATAAAACACACATACACACACTTAAAACACATACTCTCTCTCTCGTTCTCTTTCTCTCTCTCTCTCTCACACACACACACACAAGCCTGTCCATACTTAGTTATGGGAGTTACACGTCATTACCCAACACAGTGGAGCGTATTGCTGTGGGTGCTCAAGGGAATGTGTAGTAATCATAACGCCTATATCCTGCTGTATATATGTCATAAGTGGACAGTTCCAGGTCATCTATACATAATGTGTTATTTCCAAGTAATTCGACCTTTACAAATACAGTTTGTGCACGGTACGACAACATGAGCCAGGACGAGGGCTTCCAATTATTTGCATACTGTTGCTCATAACCTACAATACTACCATTCAATAACAAAGAGGGAGGTTTTATCAATGTCTTACCTTTTTTATTTTGTCTAAAAAGGAACCAATATCCTCAAGACTAAAATTACAGGGTGGCAAGTGGGATGGCGTGATGGGAGAAATAGGGATTTAACTGTTTTACTTCACTGTAAAAATCGTCGTTTTGCGTCAAAATAAGCAGGAAGTAACATTTCATTGAAAAGTGTAGAGACTACAAACTTTAGCTCCTCATTATTCAAGGGTGTGGGACCCACTCATCTTACAGGCCTATTACAGATCAGTGGGTGGGACTTCACTTGCAGATACTGAAATCAATTTCAGCCATCTTGTTTGGAAGCTAAGCTAACAAGCGCTGTGGAGATAGGAAGTTATGACAATGACAGAAGAAGCTAAACCAACGTGATCTCATGAGAATACGTATGTATGTGTACGTAAAGTGTCGTTCTATCATACGTATATATAATTACGTTTTATATGCGCAGAAACGTATAATACTGACGTATTTACAGTACTAAAACGTAAAATATTTACGTATTGATAGCACAAAAACGTAATTTATTTACGTATGAACAAATCCACCGACGTACACATTGTACGTATCACAATTTATGCATATTAATATCGTAGCATTATGTTTTGACTCTATTGCATCCCACTGTCTTATTAATGAAGTTTG